ACCGCGGTTGACTACGTGGGAGTCCAGCGACATAGCCATTATGCTAACTGCTGGTTCCCTACTTCTATCTCTTGAACAAATGGATTGTTATTCTAAATTTTCTGCCTTTTTTTGTTTTCAAAAGTTAAACTCAGAGTTCCAAGATGTTAGATTTGTATTGATTGGCATCCCGTAACAAACAGCCATAAATTATATTTTAACAGTACCGCAAAAGACTTTGAATGCATTATTAATATCTTTGCATGCTTGTTTCCCATTTTGATCACCTTGGGAAACTGTACTTACAGGTATAATGAACTGCTTTAACAAAGTATTTTAGTTGGAATTAAATTTATCTCTTCCTATAGACTTGTATTCTAAATAATTATTTTATTTAACTTTATTTATCATCATTATTATTATTATTATTATTTTCCAGTTTGATCACAGAGAGACAGAGAGAGGAAAAGTGAGAAAGCAAACCACCAAGTCCGGGACTGGAACTAGTTGGCAATGTGGGAGCCAGCACCTTTAACCACCACACCACCTGCTGGCCCCTCTTCCTATAGACTTTTGATCATTCTTATGAGAAACTTCCAAATGGGAAACTATAATAGATATACAATAATACCTTTTCAATATAATTGTTTTAGACGTACAAGACGACAAGATATAAGAAATGGAGACCCACTGACTCACTGTTCAGACTTACAACACCATGGTAAGTCACATTTTTAAAATTGCTTTTTAAAAATTTGCTCTAAGGAGTACATGAGCACTTGAGAGAGACAGAGAGTAAGAAAGGCAAAAAACGAAAACGTGTGAAAGCACTCCCCAGAGGGAGTGGTCATCCCACAATCCCTTCTCCCTTCTTCATTCTCTTCTAGGGAGTTTGGTCACTCCAAGGTTGTGCCAGGTGCATTTTTCAAGCCCCAGGGTTTGGGACTTAAACTGTGCAGTTGACCATGTGAGGTCCAGCAGCCTTAACCTCCACGTCACCAGCCAGTCCCATTTAAAAAAATCTTTAACCTAAAATATTAAGCAATGCCCGTCCAGACATTTGCACATAGCACACCTCTCTAACAGAACACTTTCAGATGAAGAGAAGAAAAATCTAAAAGAATGAACTAAAGAACTCAAAGCACTGTTTCATATTTTATTATCACAGGCCTGATAAAGTCAAGATTTTAGATACTTATGAGATTTGAAACTCAGCAAATAAAGTGCATTAATGTAGCAAAGAAAAAAATGAGTCGAAATAATTCCATGTAAATTATTAATTTATATCCTGATAATACAAACTCAAGGCACTGGTACACATGTCCTAGTAAAGTAGAAAATAATGCAAATTACTTCAGACTGAATTACTTGTGGATCAGGCCCCTGTACTGGGCATTTTGAACCAAATTCATTTTATGTTTCCAAACAGATGTCAAAACCTATATAAAAATCAAAGCTGCTTATTTAATACTGAAATATCCACTAATCTTCATTTAAAATTCAGTAAAACTATATTGATACAGTTTCACTTCCCTCTGAACACTTCCATCACTTATAAAAGTAATAATGAGGTTTTGCTTCCCTCTGCTGGAGAAAATTATCAATGACAACACTGCAAATGAACAATTCCTAGTTTAAAATGGCTAAAATGTAAATATTGTAACTGAATGCAATATTCCTAGCAACTTTTTTATTCCTTTAATATTAATTCTAAAAGTGACACTAATTTTTTTCTATTAACTCTGGTTTGATTTACTGATCCTATTTGTAATATGTTCATGTATTATGAATGTTAAAAAAAAAGCACCCTCAAATAGTGCCCCAGCACATTTAGTGAGAGGTAATAACCTTTCAAAAAGAAAGAAAATTCTAAAGAATGCAAAGCACTGTTTTATATTTTATTATCACAGGCATGATAAATCTGAGATTTTAGATACTTACAAGATTTGAAACTCAACTTAAAGTAACAAAAATAAGTGAAGTTTAAGTACCTATTTTCACATAGCAATAACCCCCATTGCATAATCTGGACATACTCATATCTGATTCATGGATGTTTTCAGGGTGGTTTAGGACATGCCAATACCAGGAAATGGCAACCAGTTTTAAAGCCAACATTTGGACGCAACTTACTTGCAAAATAGACTTGCCAAGGATTTTTCAATCTGTTACCGTCCTCATTATCAGCAAGAATGAGCCCTCTAAATTGGAATATATGTTTATAACGACATGAGTACCATGCATCTATTGATGCAGCCTTAAGTTTTTAAAAGGGTGTATTTCACTGGAAAATAAAATACTTATTAGTCTTCCAAGAATCTACTTGATAAAAGTGTAAAGTTATGATGAACATTCTTCTACCAATAAAGTGTTATAAAATATTAATCCATTATATTAAAGAATGTAATTGCCTAGGTTTGGAGAATTAATGATAAAACTGGAAGGAAAAGAAACGAGAGGATGTAACTAGAACACATTTTCAATGAGACTTTAATCTCCATATCAATTTATATGTTGTTCTTTTGCTTACTATTACATCTCTAGGACTAGAGAAGATACAATATAATGAATAACATAAGTATTCAATAAATATTTATCAACTAAATGAATAAGCTATAGATTCAATTTGGGGGCCAAACAATGGCACAGCAGGAAAACACAATGCTCCACAAAGCTGAGGCACATGGGAGGCTCCTGTGTTTATGCCCAGAGACCTCTGAGGACTCTGTGCTCAGGATATGGAACTGGCAGAAGCAGGGGTGGATCATGGCATCACAACCCCCCCTGTTAATCCTGTCTCTGTCCACCTCCCTTTCTTTCTCTCCCTCTGTCTTTCTCTGTCTCTGTGTTCATCTTTCTTGCTTATGGATACAATTTAAACAAAAAAAGGGTTTCAAGTTATACTATACTTATTATGTTTGCATTTTAGTAAATGTTTGAACTAAATAGCATATATTATTTATTATTAAAGATGGTTTAAGTCATAGCAGGGTTCTTCCAAAAGTTCATGGGAAATTGGAATTCATGCACAAGTCCATTTTGGTGCCAAAAATGTTGAAATTCACACATAGTTTTTTTACAATATGCATTTTTCATAAAATTTTTGACTCTCTCATATGTTATTATTATTGCCATTATTCAGAAATAAATATCTCTATAGAAACATCATAATGAGTCAATCAATGTGGAAGTATTAATTATTCATTACCATTGCAGGGCACTGCACTATGCTTAGAAACTTGTTGAGATTATATGTATCTATTGTCATACTGACACATTCATTTGTTTAGGAGTCCAGTTACTTTAGTGACCCAGTTATTTTTCAAAATGATATTTATTCCAGATTTGTGTTGTGAGCATAAAAATATAGATACATAGATATATATGGAAAAATATACACACACACACATACACACACACACACACAGATGTATATGGAACATCTCACGAAAATAAATCTCACCAAAAGAAATGCATAAAAAGAAAGTAAGACTATGGATAAATAAATATTTTTACCATTAAATGAGTGAATTTGGGAGTGTTTCAGATTTCAAAGATGTATTTTGATGCAATTAAAGCAGAAAAAGCCCATGAAAATTGGGGATACAGCACTATTAGTTGTAGAAGATAAAGTGAACCCGGATGGATTTTGCTGGTTCTTCAGTAAGAATGCACACTAAAGAAAGAATGGCAATTTCTGTAGCACTCTTACAGGGCTTCTTTCCCTTTTCTTATTTTCTTTTTTGGTTGGATAAACAAGTCTACATAGATGTTTGTGATACATGGGAGGAAAAGATACTCTACCTCAAGAAACTCTGCCGCTGTAAAACATTTCTTTTTCTGAAAGCCCCTTTATCCCTTGTCTGTTGGTGTTGCTAATTGACCAAATGTAAAACACATACACCGTAGGTTACAGAGAATTTCAAATGTTTGGAAACTAAGTCAGGCATTCCCATTTGGCCAGGCTGAGTTTACCATGAGGAATCCGTGAATTATTTTTGAATAGTTGATGTCAATATTTGAAAGTAAAGTGGGCCAAAATCCGGAGTCCAGCCCTGTTAGCTCATGTATGTTGTCTTGCTAATGTCACTTCTCACATCGAATCAAATATATGTGCTCATATGGAAACATACAAAGTATGAGATGTTTTCACAAAAAGCTGGTAAGCAACATGAGGCCAAATTACACACTTCGAGATGATCGATTCCAGCTGCAACAGTAAACATATTCTGTAACGCTCTATATTTTATATAACCAGAGGTTTTAATGGAGAGACTACATATAAAATAACTCAGAATGAAGGCGGAAAAGATTTCACTTCAGGTAAAACCTTTAACACTCATTCAGCACTCTGCTCTCTCTCGTGTAAAGCAGCGCTAGTGAGGAATGGCCGAGGTGAAAGAAAAACCCAGCTCCACCTTCCTTGGTCCCAGCACACTCCTCTCCATCACTGGTGGCCTTCCAGCTAGGGAGCTTTCAAATCAAACCCTAAAATATATGTACTGGCAGTTCTTGTCTTCCCACTCACACCTCATCCAGGATGCTGAGGAGAAACCTCAGGTTCTTTCAATCTGTTCCCTTCCCTAAAATAATTTCTGTGCACAAAACTGGAGCCTGTCTGCCTTCGCATTCAAGAAAATGACTGGCTCAGTCAATTTACCTTTAAACTGCCTCCTATTGCTTTATTCCTTCCTTCGCTAAACAAGAACAAGCCATATTACAGCTTATGCATCCAGAAAGGAAAAAGGCCACATCATCAACACCAATATCAAAATAATTAGAAACACATCTTCGATGTCTGGGATTTTGCAATATGTCCTGTCCCTCTTCTAGTTTAACGACAGCACTGAATCTCATCTCCTAATAGATCTCTTGGCTGTTTTGCATACATGCATTTCCTTTCCCGCATCCCTCAGTAAAATGTCCACAGAATTCAATCATCGTAATTATCTCTACAAATAGCCCGTCTCAATTTATGTCTTGGTTGTCATCAGAATCATTCCAGAATTTTATAAAATGTCTTTGGCAGTGTCATCTTTTGGTCTGCAGAACTGTAAATTTAGAATTTTGCAGCCATCTTATTATGGTCTGTTTCTTTGCCTACTCCAACTGTGAATTTGATTTTGTAGCCCCAAGAGGAGCCTCAAGATTTGATAGATGAGCATAATGTTAGCCTTAGGAAAATCCCTAATTTTAATAAATTACCAAATTTCATCAAGCTTCAGATGAGATCAAATGGAAAATGCACCATTATTTTATGTACTGCTAAGAAAGAAAAGCTGTCCAAGAAGGACAATTCAATCAATGACCTCAGCATCAAACAGGGACAAAAAGCTCTTCTGTGTTATTCCGAAGGAGAAAGAAGCTCCCATGCACATGGAAATAGCAAAGAACAGTGTCCATTCCAGTCCTAATCACGGGTGCTAGAAAAGACAGGGGGAATCCTACCTTAAACTAAAAGGTGGTGCTTGTGTCGGTTTACTTTCTAATTCACATGGACAGAGTCGACCCAAAACCTCAGAGACTTCAATTTACCCTGTGCCTACATGGCTGGCAGAAGTAAGAAAAAACTTTTCTAGAAAAAAGCAACTTCAGCTCAGCTCTGGAGTAATTACGAGACACATTATAAAATCTGAGGTGTTTAAATGTGAAGAAGCATGCACTCTGAAATAAAATCATTGCAGTATTACCTCCTATATGTGTGTGTGTGTGTGTGTGTGT